AAAAGAAAAGAAAAGAAAAGAAAAGAAAAGAAAAGAAAAGAAAAGAAAAGAAAAGAAAAGAAAAGAAAAGAAAAGAAAAGAAAAGAAAAGAAAAAAGAGAAATATAAAGAAGTGGCTTTTGATCTTCTTAACAGCAGTTATAGATATCTTTATAGTTCAGCCTCTCTCTCTAAGATTACATCATGATTTCCTTCTTCCATAATCTACCCTTACACATACAGGCCTCTTGTGATGGTGAAAAAAGGGGGGTGTTTTGTATGGTGTCTTGAGCACCCGAAGAAAAGTCTGCATAAAAATCTAGTAAGTAAATACATAAAAGAAGGTGTTCCTTTTTTTACACTTAAATCTTGAGGACTCCCCAAATGTTCTAGTGTGTTGAGACACCATGATTGAGAAAGAGTTTGTCAACTCCTATGAGAATTTTTTGAATGAACAAAATAGGAAGATAATGCTTTCAGCAAATAAAGATTGAATTAGTACACATCTATTTAACATTAGATTACTTTAAAGAAGAAAAGATAGGACGTTACTTAAGACAAAACTTTACAATTTGGCTATTGACCATAGTAAAACCTGCTATTATGAACATTTAAGAGAATAAAATAACTTGCATTTTCATTTCATCAGCTAGAATATAAAACAACATAGTTACCTCACTTAAAGCTTATTTTTATCAGCAAAAATGAGGAAATATCTCCTTCCTTTTGAAGAGACCCTTGATTGAGGAGCAGCTAGGCAGAATCTGGCTTTCCCTCACTCCCACTAGGAAAGAGAAGAAGAGGATGATCAGCAGCAAGATGGATGAAGTTACTTACAGGGGCTATGAGTGCCCCTTGGAAAGACCTAAAAGACCATGTTAGGGACTGATTGTTATGGAGACAATCTATCTATGTGGTCACTATGAGTCGACAGCAACTTGATGGCACAAAGTCAGTAAATCAATCACTTCCACTCCCTATCTCCAGTTTTTCTAACCATCATTTGAGGACTCTCAGTATGTGGTTTAATACTGGTTGATCATTTTACCATTTTTGTATGTTAGTTATCTTTGCTAACTACCTTTTGACCTTTGGAAATAAATGTGTACACCAAACAGCTGTGGTTTATTTGTCATGAAAATATTAGCAAATTTAAATGTTCATACCAAAGTCAAAATTATCCAGTTAACACTGTCCCAGTTTGTAGTAAGACCAAGTACCAATGGAGGTGGTGATTCCTTTTCATTAGATTTTTCATGATGATGTTGGATAGCTTCAGGGAACTAAGCAGAGAATTAGATTAAGTAGCCAAAATGGGCCCTGGAAACTCTGTGATCTGGTTCTGTCATTCTTGGTTGTTACTCACACTGTCCTCATAGTTTATAATCTTATTGTCGTTGTGCAACAGTGTGCAAAAGAAATTGTTTTTTAAAAGAGCCCTTGGATACCAAATCAACAAAGTGGTTCATAAAGGATTCATGCATATTGTGTAATTATATATTTTGATACACTTATCTAGGTAACTAGTTTCTTTTTTCCTGAAGAAAAAGCATAAAATATTATTTTCCCAGGAAATTAGATGAAAAATACCTTCCATAGCCATGAGGCTTTAAATCACAGAATCCCTTTGAAGAATGCGGAGTGCCATGTAGCAAAAGTCTCAAAAAAATTAAATCAAAAATTTTACAATTGCAGCAGCATTTTCAGAAATATCAACATCCATTATTTATTGCCTATGCATAGATCTAGAAATGTCTTGGGTGATACTAATTCACCTACTTATTAAATCAATACCTTTTAATATTATGTCTGCATGAAATTTGGGGAGTTTAAATTCCTGCAAAGTGAAAATTCTTCTATTCTTCTATTCTTAACCTTATAATCATCAGATGGGAGAGATACCATTCTTTTCAATGTGATATTATGCTGTTGGTCAGCATGCATATAGAAACTCCTCATGATAAATGCTTGTTATTCTGATTGATCGCTGTAATATTTTTGGGGGAGGCACAAATTTCTGAAACATGCAAAAATCCCCAAATTTTTGTCCTCCCAGATACAACATATCTTTGTATTCTATTATATCAATTTATGATTGCCTTTTGTTGAAATCTTTTCTCAGTTATGAAAAGTATTAAAGCAAATTGGGTATAGAATCAAGTCATACATATTTAAATAAATACCAATTTTCTGATAAATGTTTACAAATGACTTACTATTTTCCTCCACAGAATGATTGTGTCTTCCAATATATGCTCCTTAAGTATTAGGCCAGTAATGGATTAATGCTGTCCCACTCTTTTTCAGTTAAATTTCTATCTGCATTGGAGAGGTTCAGTTTATTTTGTATGTATTACATGCATACATGCACATTTTATATATAAAAATTCACTTCTCACCCCTTTTGGTGGTATATGTCTTCCTCAATCTCGGGTCCTCTACCAGAGGTGTGGGAGTTTGAGGGTTCTGTGCAGTATCTTAGCTGTTCCTAGTGCTGCACTCTTCTGCACAGAGAGCTCTGATGTTGTTCCTGGGATCTGTTGGAGCCACTTTCCCAGCTTAGGAATCACAGCCCTGAGTCCTCCTACCACCACTAGGACCACTTTGCCCTTTACTTTCCACCTCATCTCTAGTTCCTCCTTCAGGCCCTGGTACTTCTCCACTTTCTCATGCTCCTTCTTCCTGATGTTTCTGTCACTTGGCACTGCTACATCTATCACTACCACTGTCTTCTGCTCTTTGTCTACTAACGGCTGTCTTCTGCTCTTTGTCTAATATATATATTCCCTCAAGTCTTAATTACAGTATAAGATTATATTATCAAAAATATTAAAAATGGCATCTGTGTACTTCTTAATATAATTAGCAATTAGCAGCTGCTGCTTATGTATGGCTATCTAAGAATGCTCTACTACCACTTAACCCATTGCATAACCATATAGCACAATTGCCTTATCAACAATATCAGCATTCCAAAATGTGAGAGTTCAAACTCGGTTTATTAAGTGAAAAGCAAGGCCTTTTCACTTGGGATCCCATTTCATATCTAGCATTTAGGAGATCCCATCCTCCATTCTAAATCCATCTATACTCTTGGCTATACTAATATCTTGTGTTAGGAGAGGTTTCCATAAATTAATTCTAAATAGCGTGCAGAAATACTTCCATTCTTGCTTAAGTTCTGAGTCATCAGTCAATCCATTTAATTGGGTTCCCCAAAGTTCTAATATTAAGCCGAATTCAAAATAATGTTTTTCTAGTTTCACCACTTCATGGATAATTTGATCAACATCTATCATGCCCTTCTTTAATTAACCTTCTCACTCCCCATTATGAGTTCTCAAATGTTGTAACATTTTCTGTTATGGAAAGTGTTCCATTACCAGCTGCTCAAGTTGTTTTCATCATACTTTTCTGCATAAATGTCATTTCTATCGTTTCACTGTTGAGAACCAGAATCCTATGGAGTAATCTAAATGAGGCTGTACCTTGAATTTTGAGCAAATAGGTACGTTTCCAAATTTGGTAGTCTGCCATAACAGTATCATGGGGAAAATGGCTTTAATGGGAGGAAAGCTACTTATCTGAAATAAACTTATGACTTTTTTTCCTTTTATCCTCTTCTACTCCCCACTGTAATTTTATAGAGGAGGAAGAAGATGCAAGAACAGAAAAACATGCATTATTTGCATTAATAAACCAAATATTTTATAATCAAAACTTTACCTTTTTAAAATTAGGGTTAACTGCTGCTACTGACATAAAAAACACATCTTTTTGAATAATGTAAACATGATTCATTAATATAAATCTAAACAAGGGACAATTGTATGCTATAAAATGTCCAAAGTATATTACCTTATTTTTAGCATATTTTATATTGAGTTAAGTTTTAAATTAAATGCCTACGAGGAAAATATATTCTAAGATATATTCACTTATGAGATTTCTACCTTCAGTCTTAATATATGCATCTCATTGTTTAATAAAGACAATAATAAGTTTATCTAAAGTAAAATCTGCCCTAATTATATATTCAATTTTCTTCCACTTCTACCACTGCTTCAAACCATGGTGGGATTCTCTGTATCTCGTCGTCAAATCAATCAATCAGATTTTTATTATGATCAAAGATCAGAACACAAACTGTGGAACAAATCTATAAAATTTACCCCAAGCTATAGTTTGAGAAAGAATTTGTATGAAACAATTTACAGATGGTATAGAACTCCATCAATAATTGCCATATAGACACATAGTATTGTAATAAATGCTGGAAATACCACAGGACAGAAGGAACATTCTACCATGTGTGGTGGACATGCAACCCCCCCCCCAAATATATATATATGAAATGGTATGTAACATTTTTGTTATATATACACAACAGAAGATTAACTACATTTAAGCAACAATGGCATCCATGATATTATATTATATTATATTATATTATATTATATTATATTATATTATATTAATTATATACACAGCAAGTTAAATACAAACCTATCATGCCAACAGGTATTTCAAATTGGTTGGAGAACAAAAAAGGGGCAAGTCAGAAATCAAATATTTATCTATATTATTTTTAGTGTTGTTGTTGGTTTTTTCCCCTTTCCTTTTTAAAAGATTTATAAATAATAATATAGTGGAGATTTGGGAATTAAGCTCAAACATTTAGATTTTCTTTTTTTATATCATGAAAACAACTCAATATAGTCTGCTTGGAATCTTTTGCTAATGTTACATTGAGCATTAATTCTATAACCAATAATTATCTATCCACTTATTGATAATATCTTTTTTTAAAAATACAAATCTGTTTTAAACATTTTTTTAAAAAAAGAACAGTGCACAAAAAGAATGTGTGTGTGTGTGTGTGTGTGCATGTAATAAGTTTCAGCTAATCAGAGGTAGCTTAAAGAATTTAAAATATGAATTATAAAATGAGATTAAAATTAATTGAAGAAATCAGTTGTCGTGTCTTCACTGCAGGCTGGCAATAGATCCAATTGTTTTCTTTTACAAAGCCTGTCGAGGAAAAGGATAAAAGGTCTCAGAAGCATTTTATATTGAAAAAGATTTTGTTAAGATCACCTTGGAGGAAGAAACAATCTCCCCAGAATAAGATCCTGTTAGCTAATATTTTACCCACTGCACCATTTTAAGAGGAAATAAGCATCAAAAGCTGAATATCTGATGCATCATTCTTGGGAATTAACAATAGTGTCCATAAGCTGAAGTGGTGATGGTCATGATGCCAAAAAGTACCACCATCTTAGAACAAACAGAAAAAGGGGAAAGGAACATTAAATGATTTCATGAAATATATATGTGTTATGCAAATTAATTAAGCATATTCCACTTATCAGAAGGACCAGCTGACTTACCTTCTATTAAATTTAAATTAGAGGAATTACTTGTGTATGTGCAAACTTTAAGCAGATATGTGGTGTCTTTTCTGGAGGAGAGGTAGGGGGTGCTTAACGTAAGAAGCTATCCTAGCAAAAGTTGTTCAAGGCAAATGAAGGCTATTCACGTTTTGTCCTTGTCTAATCGTTGGTTGATGTTTGGAAAAAACCAGATGAAAAACAAGTCTGGTCTGGAATCATCTTCAAATTATTATTCTTTATTCCTAATAGAATTATTATCAATTTTCCTTTTCCATTCTCTGTTAGTGATGATAGGTAGACAATCTATTTACCCATTTCTTCCCAGCCAACGGCTATTCAAATAAACTGCCTCCAAGTTGCTTTATTACTTATATAAGGAAAGTAGAAATGTGGAATATGGAAGATAAATTTGGGGGGCAAAAGATTGGCAGGGAAAGATTATACAGCCTATATCCTCTTGAAATAAAATAATACATTACTTAAAGTGCAGCTACATTTCATTAGAACATATGGATATTGTTCATAGTAAACAAGGGCATTTATGGAGGAGGTCATGGTCAAAAAGGTTATGGTAGCAGTTACAACCTTGTGATCAAAGACTTGTCCATTTTTTATATGCATGTGACACATGGAAAACAGAGGTGTGGTTTCGATCACAGAGTCATGATTTTTTTCAACACCCCAACTAACATCCCTGATGATAGCTGCTACAAGCAACGTTGTAATCTGGTCTCAATTTAAAATGTTCATTTGACAATAAACTCAGATACACAACTGGAAATAGCAGTTGTATTGATTTCCCTTTCTCAAAATATCAAAAGAAGCAACCAATCAGCTGGAGTGATGGTATGGTGCTGGAATAAGCACAGTGTGGTAATGACATGTCAATATCCATACTGAGTTGTGGCTGGAAAACAGAACAGCGCTCACAAAAGCTGTCATTTTATTTCAACCACCACTCCACCACCCTCAAGAACTTTTATTTTCATTATCAAAAATGAACCAGTTGTTTTAATGGCTGCCTCTAAGACAATGTAAATTGTAGATGTCTCATCAGAATTAGATAAACCAGATGTAGCTTACACAATTTATTTCTTATGGAGTAATTAAAAAAGAAGACTTCAAAGAACTTGTCGAAGCTACAAGTTTCCACAAAGCGCTCTTGATCTCTTTGTTTCTTATGCTATAGATGAATGGATTCAATATAGGAGGTGTTACAGCATAAACCATTGCAAAAGCCATATCCATATTAGATGAAACTTTACCAGGAGGCTTTGCATAGGCAAAGACAACACTAAATATAAATACCGAAATAACAAGGAGGTGAGGAAGGCAAGTGGAGAGGGCTTTTTTCTTGCCATGGAGAGAAGGGATTCTGAGCACTGTAAGAAAAATCTGCACATACGTTACAATAATGAAGATGAAGCACCCAACTCCTATTGTGTTCCCTATTGCAATACTCCAGAGTTCAACTACATAAAAATTAGAACAGGAGAGTTTTAATAATTGTGGAATTTCACAGAAGAACTGTTCGACAATATTGGAACAGAAAGTGACAGCAAAAGTGCCACCTGTATGCACTGCAGCGTAAAAAAGGCTTATCATCCATGCAGTGACTGCCATTTGAATACAGGCTACTTTATGCATGACTATTTCATATTGGAGTGGATTGCAGATGGCAACATAACGATCATGAGCCATGACTGTTAGGAGGGCAAGATCACATGCCTCAAATAGAACAAAAAAGAGTACTTGGGCCACACAGCCAGAATAAGAAATGGATCTGGTATTCAGAAGAGAATTTGCCACTGATTTGGGAACAGAGACAGAAATAGAGCCAAGATCCATTATAGCCAGATTCATGAGGAAGAAATACATTGGTGTGTGAAGATGATGGTCAAGAGCTATAACCACAATGATAAGAAGATTCCCAATGAGGCTTGTCAGGTACAGTATTAGAAAGGCAAATAAGTGAAGGATCTGTAGTTCTCGAACATCTGAGAATTCTAGTAGTAGAAAAGTGGTTGGGGAAGTGAGATTATCCATGTTCTCTTTTCTAGGATCTGTAGAAGAAATAAAGATGACATTAATCTACTAATACTCATTAAATAATTAATTTAAATGTGTTACACTAATTTAACTTTCTTGAAGGTTCTTCATCAGTATTGGACTATGTTCTTATTTTATCTTCAGTGTGTGTCAGTATCTGCATGTATGTCCTAATCAATGGCTTGTGAGTGCAGTATGTTAGCCTGCATAGTAGGGTCTAGATGATCTTGGTGCAAAAGTGTCAAATTCTTCATGAGAATACTGACTAATGAGTATATGGAACTTTTTTTGGGAGGGGGGCGGTTGAATATGTGACTTAAGTGTAAGTCTCTCTGTCTTTCTGTCTCTCTGCATATGAATACACACACACACGGCAAAGAAATAAATATAACTTTAAAAGCATGAATGATTTGATTGTTTTATGATGAAAGATTAAAAGGATAAGTGAAGGATTCAGGAATTATGAGAAGTTGAATGCAGGACAAACCATTGTTGACAGAGTACCTTGGAAGAAAAATAAGAAAATGAAAAAAGTAAGAGACACTAGAATAAAAGTGTAGTGACTACATTAAGAAAAAATACAAATCCTGCTTGCAAAAGAATTAGAAAATAGCTTAATCTCCCAACAGAATGAATTGAAAGTGGATGTTTAAAAGGAGGATGTGAAAACTGAAAATACTTATGCCACATGACTACATTAATTTATTTATTTATTCAATTTTTATCCTGCTTAATCTCATGACTCTCAGCTGTATGGAGTTATGATTACAGGAAGCATGAAAAATAATGTTTGGTGAAACAATGAAGTGAAAGAGTCTGTGGTTAAAAAAATAACAGATTATGTTGCAAAAATGAGGATAGTGAAAGATATTATATACTGTGTACAGAGAGAAAATATACTTGCAAAGATTGAACTCAAAGAGAGCAAAGAATACTTAAAAGAAGCAGAGAAAATAGAAAACACATTTGATGAGAATAAAACATGTTCTAGAATTAGGTGAACAGGGCAAACCAAAAAAATGAATAGGATTTTTTTTAAGTTATTCTTTTTTTTTTTTCCAGATGATACTGAGATGAGGAAATGCTAAAAGCCGTCTTTGAAGACATGTATTGGAATGACAGTCAAATAGTGGAATTGAAATGAATGTTATAAATATTATTACCCCCTCCCAATGGTACAAAGTAAAAAATACTGTGACTATGTTAAAAAATGGTAATGCTGAAGATGTAAATTGTGCAACTTGAGAAATGTGAATATATGGATATGCTCTATGACCTGTTTGCTCTGTATGTAAAAGCTCCATCTGTGTGCTTGCAAAGCTATTTGGCAGAATTCTGACTCGTAGGATGGCAGTGAATAAAATTTAGAAAATACAGAATGGCTTTATACTAGGCAGGAAAATGTAGAGCATTGAGAAATATAGGAATGTGAGAAGGTTTCAAAATTTAGAAGATGACATATATCAAATTTCATAGAACTTTACCAGAGGACTTTTATTTCTAGGCTTTTATGTGCTAGGTAATAAAAGTTCCTATAAAGTTTTTGTTTTTTCACAGAATGAAGTGAAACTTGCATGAAAGCTATATCATTAGGAGGTGACGAAGTGTGTCAAATCCTATAGAAATCAGGGCAGGTGTTTCCAAGCTTTGCAATCTTTTGGGCCAAACAACACCTTGCTTAGACATCTTACAAGTAACTCGGTGCCAATACAAAGTTACAAACTTTAAAAAGAAAGTTAATAGATAAAGATCATCCATGTAAATCATCTTACAAGAAGAATAACGAAATAAGGGAGATGGGCTAAGTAGAGAAATATAATACAAATATTGACTGTAAACAAAAGATTAAAATATGTTGAGAAAATTACTGATAAGAACAAGAGATGTGGAAAGGGAAGTATAAAAGTTGGATCACCAAACAAACTGAAGAAGAATCAAGTGAGAATGGGAATGAGGGTGATGCAAAAATAGATAAATTCCTAGAATAAGATCCTGTGAATGACAATGAGGTACAATTGCAGCAAAGGTAAATACAAGTTAATAGCTGTCCCCATCTCACCTATCTAAAATGCTCTGACTGATATCAAAGATCACAATGATTTGAGGACAGATCTGTTGTTCCCTAAGTCTAATAGTCTCCTCCCTATGGTGCCGTTATAACAGGAAAACATCCGAAAGTAAAATGTTCAAAAATCCACCTTCCCATTTGAAACATGGTGTAATTTCTTCCTGGGTTACCAAACTACAGTATGTCTGAGGTGGATGAGGAGTTTGGCAAAATATTTTGAATCAGAGGCAGAACAAGTGGTTTCCAACCAAGTTTGCTCAATTGTCCAGATTTTCACATTCTCTCCATATTTGATTCAAGGCTGGGTGTGTGTGTGGGGGAACCTCAGCAACTTCAAAAGCTTACATATTGCTAAGCTTGTCACAAAATTCATGTGTTTGTGCTCCACCCAACTCAGAGATTATAAATAAATAAAAACTTTCTTGATCTCCAGATATCTTCTTCAGACAGGTTATCACAATAAGGACAAGGCAGAGGCAGGACGAAAAAAAAGCTGACTTGGTCATGAAGTCTTATGGTCAAAATGACACATATTTCTAACTATGCAGATTTCTTTATGTCAGAATCAACTTAGATTTTCCCCCCTTCGATTTGTATGTGTTAAAGCTTCCTTCATTAAAAAGAAAATAAATTTGCGACTTTGAAACTTGTCTTAACATAAGTTGAAGAATACAAAAATGACTATTATTGTTATTAGAGTAATATATAAATATAAGACTGAATTAAAGAGTCTTATCAATAAATACTATAATTATTTATGAATCTGTGCATCTTGGAATACATCCCAAATATATTGTTGAACGAACAGCTGAAAACATTCTGGAGTAAGTAAGGAAAGAAAACTACAAAGGATGCTAGATTGCATCAAAACCATGTAAATCAATGAAACTTACCCAAACACTTTCAACTACTTTCAATTTTAATAGACAACTTTCTGAAAATTCAGCATCTGTTCTAAGTTCTTTTCAATCATAATTGCTCAGTAATCTTCAAGTTCCTATAACAAATCTTATAATTTGCTGTATATGGGACTGGCCTAGAAGACAACTTGGAAGTTCTAGCTAGTACAAAATAGGGCAGGCAAAAACATAAATCATACAAGCAGTTGGAGCCACACTCACACTCAAGGAAACACACTGGGTACCTTTTCACTTCTGAGGTCAATTCAACATGATAGCGAAACTTACTCTTAAAACGTTAATTGGCTTTTGGATACAAATATATCACCTTATATTATCCTCCCTGTGCCTTAAGATCATTACATGCCAACAATACTTTATGGGATATTGGAGAGAAAGCCATCTCTTTTGTGATTTCTTGATTGTTAATTTGCCTCCTCTTGGAAGTAGGCATGATGTCAGCACTATTTTCTTTCTGGCACCAGGTCAAACTAATTTGTTTGCCTAGGCATTTCCATCCTGATTGCTTTATGATGCAACTTCCTGTTTCATGTAATTGCCCCCTTTTTGTGTCTTAAAATTTGCTTCTATACCCCATCCTAGGTTTGTCATGAAAGACAATAAAATAAAAGAATGAATGATAAGCTAAACACATGCCAACATTTGTTTCACTTTTCCTTATATAAACAATGAGTTTTATTCATAATTTTACTCACTCTTTTACAACTGATTAAATTATATGCTAGTAAGTTTAGTTTGTTAGTAGTTATTAGTTAATTTTAATATGGATCTTTATATTTTTATTATTTTACTGTTTTGGATTTTAATTGTGAGCTGTCCAGAGTTTCCCTCTAGGGGAGATGGGTGGCATACACATTAAATAAATAAATAAATAAATAAATAAATAAATAAATAAATAAATAAATAAATGCATACATACATACATACATACATAAAAGATACTTTGTTTTAAACTTTTAATGTGAATTTTATTTGACCTCCAGACTGTAACTTTATATGCTTACTTGGATGCCGGACTTAGCAAGGTTTCTGAGAAGGGATTTCACTCACATTTCCATGTTAGCTATTCTTCTTTTCAAATTATTTCATCAAGCTGCTTTTGACAGCTTAATGAGGTAATTTGAACAGGGGAGATGAACAATAAATGTTATGTTTCTCCTATATTAAGGGAAATCTTCTGCAAGGTCATTTTGAATGGATGACAGCCTAGTGAAGAAAGAATGAAAGACCTGCCCCCTGAGACGTATTGGGGATCTAGAATTTATTCCCCATTTTAAAAAAATGAGGAGGAGAACTGATAGTAGTATTTTTGTCCCCTAATACAAGATGAATGTATATTTTAAGTGACCTTTTGGTAGAAAGAGATGTGACTTTAATCATTCTTTTATAATGAGTCATTTGAAAAAATGAGTGATGGGAAATTATTATCTCTGATACTTTCCTTCTACCTTCTCTCCTTTGAGTCAATAATTTGGAGCTAAATAGAGCAGGTAATATAATTTCATCTGGCTTTGAATTTTTTCTTTCTTTCTTTCTTACACAGAACAATAGCTTAGCCTATCTCTTTCTGTGTAAATATATAGACTGCCTGATTAATGTTTTTTCTGTTTTCACTTATGAAGGCATCAAAGAATGGAAACAATTTTGACTTCAAAATTTCATGGCTTTCATATCTTCAAAAATGGAGGATCAGCAATTATTTGTCTGTTTTTACTTCTCAAAAAGACTTGGGAGAATCCTTAAGGAGACTGACCTTACTTCCATACTTGATAGACCTCAATATGCAAATTGATAACCCGTCTAACACACATTTAAGATGTGGATATGGACATGGAAGTGTATGGGGTATCCAGAGAGCAGTAGCACCTCTGGTGGAGGTGCTTGTTGTGCCCTTTTTAGGGCTGCTTGTTCACTTTTGGTCCCCACCTGGTGCTCAGCTCTCACCTGTGGCTCCAAGTACCTGTAACACATTCAGTGGTCAGAACACAGTAAACTGTCTTGGAAGATGTGTC